CCAGTAATATTTATGGAATCTTTCCAATCTGTGGTTAGGCTTGCTTTATCAAAGACTCTCTCCTTACATGGACGCAATATTGGTCCTTTGTTTCCATAGCACTTGAAGATGCCCTAACTCACTTCACTCTCTTTGTAGACCTGTGTCTGTATGACAAGTGGTTTATCATCATTCTCAAGATGCGGCTGTTGCATCTGAGAGTGGGCTGCCTGGGTTATCTTCACCAAGTATCCCAGACTGTTAGAAGGGCCACTGCACTGAAATTTATCCAAGGCCCTTGAAATTATTTCCCTTTCCCTAAAGGCATGAAAAACTGAAAAAAAATCTCTTTTCCTTGTTTTTTTAAAATTTTACACTTTTACCTTTAATTATTATACAAACAAAATATGTTCATTTTAGAAAAATTAGATAAGCAAAAGAGAAACTTTGAAATTACTTGAAATTCAGTATTCCAAAACAAATTATAGTCACATACTGGCATGAGAAAGGGACCTCTTGTGACCCTGCACAAGGAGGGAAAGTTGACCTGAGTGGAAATGGTGGGAAATTGAGAAATACAAAGCTGGAAGATATGGGGAGAGAAGAAAGACAGGTGATGGGAGAGGATGGCGTCGGGAGGGCGAACGCAGCTGATGACTGCAGCCAGCCCCTGAACTGTGGAAACAGCTTTATTTATACAGTATCTGATTGCATAAATCTTTATTTTTTATTTTTATTTTTTATTTTTTGCAGTTTTTGGCCGGGGCTGGGTTTGAACCCACTACCTCCGGCATATGGAGCTGGTGCCCTACTCCTTGAGCCACAGGCACTGCCCCTGATTGCACAAATCTTAACACATGGGGTAGAGATCAACCTTAAAGAGGAAAAACTGTGTGCTTGTCAGTAACAAAGTCTGCATGGGCTGTGACTTTTGGCAAGTGAAAACAATGTTGTTAAGGGAGGAGCAGTGGTTGGGGGTTGCTCCCTGAGCATTACCCAGGCTGTGGGGGCCCTGCTGGCCACAGCCTGCTGCTCCCCACAGATTATCATAACCAGTAATATTCAAAAAGAACTTTTTGAAAATATGTGTATATTTTTGAAAGTGTCACAGGTACCCCAAATCTTTTGCAAATGTGAGTTTGCATTGTTGTTTTGTAACCTGCTTTTTAAATGGAACAATATTCATATAACTTATCCTTTATTCTACAACATAATTTTTTTTCTATATATATATTTGTTTACAATGGATCACTGGGGAAGTTGGATAGCCACATGCAGAAGAATGAAACAGGATCCATTTCTCTCACTACTTGCGGGAAGAATGGGGACTGAAGACCCCATTCTTGGCAAGGGAAAATACCCCCAGGAAAAGGGAAAAACAGAGAAATAAGCTGAGCAAGTCAAAATAAAAACAGTTTAGCTAGCTTACTTTTAAATCAACAGCTAAATTTCTTATCTGAGAAGTTTCTGCTTTTACTACGGGGCCTGTAAGGACTACAGCTTGCAAATATCCCTACTGGGTCTGTAAACACTCTGAAGAATAATGGCTATAAACAAAGCTACTTGCAAGGCCTAAGAAGGGACATTAACCAAGCCATCCCTGCCCAGTCAACTGTCAAAGCAAATACCCATTGTGGGGATTTGTATTATGGCCAGAGCAGAGATCAAGGGAACAGCTCAAGCCCTGAAATATGGGCAGGAGGGTTTGTATCCTAATCACAGAGGAAGACTCCTCTGGGTGGAGATCAGAGAAAAATTATTTCTTCCACCAATTCTTTTTTTTTTTTTTTTTTTTT